TAGTCTGATAATTCCATCTGGGCTTTAAACATATCTGTTTGAAATGTTGACTTTCTCTGTGTGTAAAAAGTACCTTTTTGCACATCTTCTGACACAATTTAAGCTAGTTGGATTTTGAAAGTTAAACGCTTGCCTTTTAAAGCTACCCCTAATCACACAATCAAGAGAGACCTTTTATTTTGAAAACCCAACAATCTGAAAGTCCCAAACTTTACAATGGCTAATTAATTGATTTCCTTTCAATCAGACAGTTTAACCTCAGACAATTCCTTCCATGTGGGCGCATATGCCTCCATTGGACTCCACATAAACCTATACAACACACAAAAGGAAAGGAATTGTTTGTTCAAATATAAAGAATTAAACATTTTCAAGGGAACATTTTAGACCAATGAGCTCACACACCAACAACCAAACATGCAAGTGTACATGCGTATATTGTGGGCAATGCCCTATTGTCTGTAACTACAATGTCAGGATTGCAAGTCCCCGAGTAGACAGTGTGTTTACAGTATCTTACGTTCCCAGATAAGTGAGAACTGAATTCCTTTTTTTATATTATCATTTTGAAAGAGGGAAAACTGGGTTTGTACAGATACAGCAGTGGGCAATAATAGGATTTGTTTTAACATTTTGGTCATGGTGAGAAATTAAGGTGACCTTATCAACAATAGAAGGTTTACTCAGTCAGTGTCATTTATTCTGTGTTTGGAGTTTTTATTTGTTGCGTATATGTTCCCTGGTTTCATTGAAACGCGGTCAAATGGGACGGAGGCTTAATGGATTTGTCCACTATAGTCTTTTTTTCTAAACGTTGGTGTTTATGGCTGGCATTTCTTCCTTAATTAAACATTCATACATTCTCTATTTTACAGGCACACATATGTCTTGCCAATTACAAAAAAAAGACTTGTTCTTCCTTATCCCGTCACATTGCAGATTCAGCAAAATCCCCTCTTAACGGCCACTGCATGGAGAAACGAGTGGTGCTTCTGGATGTGAATTACCATATTTGGTAATAAAGTAACATGTTGTCAAACTGTTCGCTTTGGCATAAGCTTCTGCACAGTCAGGGGGAAATCCAGTCTCTAAGCATGAGCTCAGAGAGTTTTAATCCTGGGCAAACTCAGCAAGCGCACCAGCGAGAGAGAGCCAACTAAGGAAGCTTTAGAAACATGACAATGGACGGATGTGACACATGGACAGGAGGAAACTTTACAGCTCTGTTAGCTTCAGGGGGCTGCAGTGAGGTGTGCTGGAATATATTACTTCTGTTCTGTGATGTCAAGACAAGAAAGGATGTTTTCCTTTGTAACGATGTGAGCTTCGCACGGCATACAAGTCCCATCACTGTCATGTAGTGCAACACAGAATATGACATGAACTCACGTGAACTCCTGTGTCATCTGTATGTAATGCTGGAGAACACAGGAGGGTTTAAAGTCTATTGTGAAATAAAGAATGTGCATATCAAATATTCTATTGGAGTGCACAGACTTTATACGTAGTCCATCAGCTTTGTGTAGACAGAGACACTTTTCATCGTCTGGAAATCCATGAAAGCAAACTGATTTGAACCGGGGAAAATCACTAATTGAAAATGGCTTCTTACAGAGTCAGTGGGGGAGGGAGTGTTCAAATATTTCTCTTAAATTAACATTATCAAATAAACATGGCAAAATAACGTAAATGGAAAGTACAGTATTATCAGCATATGTACCAAACCACAGTATTTATTAAGGGCATCTCTTTGTGTTATTAAATGTTTTTGGTTGATGATACATTCACATGTAAGCAGTATGTTATTGTTGTAGTTGGTTGAGTTCTAACTAAAAGCTAATTCTAACTAGTTTATACACTGGTTAGTCGTTTGAACTTCAACAATATATAATTATTAAAGTTTATTGGTGTTTAATAATTAACTGACATATGAAGCTATAGGATTATTTCTGTGGTCATAGAATAAATGTCTAGCTGTTTGTTTGATTATACATACTTGTGTATAGTTGCATAGTATACATTTGCATACTAAGAATGACCCTATGGATGACCATGGAAGCCCAATGAATAACTATCTCATCAATTAATTGTAAAAGATATCTTCTTATCTCTCCAAAGCATACTATGCAAAAGACAAACAAGTGTTTTGGTCGGTTGAAGTTACAAATTAAAAAAAAGAATGAAGATTGAATTGGGGTTAATGTCATATGTAATTCCTATTAGGTTGGCAGTATTCCAAGGAAAATATTTCCTAAAAACTACTGAAAAATGTATTTATGAAACTAAATTAAAGGCAAAAATGTTCATTGTGCCCCGACTTGTTCTACATGTATCCTCTGAGGAATGTTTCCTCCTCCTCACTGATCTGTACAAAATTATTTTCCAGTTAGATTAGGACGGTTAAACGAACGACACGCTTTGTGTTCTATTAGCTCCCGGTTAGACAAAAGTGAAATTAGATTAGTGAGCTCTGATCTCTCCGTGGTCTCATCCCCAGCCACGGTCTGCTGCTAAAAAGATTAGGAACGGTGCCACAGACTGATGGAGGTTATCGGACTGCCGTTAACGGTTTGTCCCCGACTGCTGTGATGAACATTTAATTGCTTGAGTTGATGGAACGGTAAAGATTTTGGCAGCACAAAGATACTGGCAGTGGATGAAAGCTGGCCTTGCCCCCATTTATTTTGACCAATTATAGATGAGCTCCGCATTTTCTTTGGACTCCGGGGGATGAAAGACAACGAGAGTTGAAGTATACTTAAGGAAAGAGAAGCTGCTTTTTGACAATGGGGTCAATGGCTTAGTCTATAAGAACAACATCTGATTTTGACGTGAATAAATAACGCTATCACTGAAGCACAAAATAGTTATTTGTGCACAAACAGCATACAACGTATACTCATTTGTATTTTGGCTCACTTGCCAATAATTGGTACATTTAGTATGGCTGCCAAGTACACATTAACAAGCAATAGTTAATAAATGTTTCATTATAACATTAAACTTAATTTATTTAATTAAAATTGATTGGTGAATATCATGTTTAAGCTGACATCTTGAGCTTCAACTTCTCCAATTCCAGTACCTCGGATGGGCAAATAGCTTCAAATACTACAATACCTATAAGCCTTAGCCCCCGTTGCGATGGAGATGTGAATCAGAGCTGTGGTGAAAATCAAAACACCTCGACATGGTGCTGGGAACCAAATTAATCTAATCTTAACTAATCTGAAAGTCAATTGATTTATAGTGCAGATATATTTATTTTATTTGTTAGTATTATGCTTTTTAATAAATAACCAGATATGTTGTAATCAGTTGCTTGTCTTTTGTACCAAGCCATTGACATATTGTCAATCACCTTAACTATGCAGAAAATACATTTGACTTTACTTAAGTCATGTTTGTCTGAAATAAATCCTCCAACTTCACCCCTCTATTGGAGACAGATGGAATTGGTGGTTTTAGTTTGATTTAAGTTCTTCATGGTCCAAGTGAGTCCGTCTTGTTTACTAGGAACACAGTTGGTTAAAAGACTAAGACAACATACTGCAGAGTCCTGGGTACATTTGTCAGAGATGCATTTTAATAAGCTGCTGTTCATGTTGCCCACAACTTCACTAACGAAGCAGATCGGTGCTTAACAGGACGGAAACATGGCTGTTAAGAGTATTCACTGTGTCCACAAATAAATAGTCCTTTTCAAAACCTACCATTTTAAAATAGAAATCTGTAGAGCAAAGCTTCCATGTGAATCTGTTGTTCACATTCTTTCATTTCCATGTTGCTAAGAACACAGCATTCCCTCTTTATACCCAGGATGTTCGATTGATCAATGATGGTCATAACACAAGAGGCAGAGTGCCTACAGTACTTACGCCAAGCTAGCTAATATATGATATATGGACTCCAGTTCCCTTTGTCAGCAAGTCATCCCAGTTATATTGGGCAAAAGGAAATGACTCATTAGATTAATTACATTGGAGGACACATATGTCCAAGTCAATAACCCTGATTAGCTCACATTTCATCAATACACATTTACAAGCAACATGCCAATCTGCTGACCCTGGTGCAATGTTTGAGAAACAACCTGCAACCTCAGGATTACTGAGACGTTCAGTATTCATGTTTATCTTGAGTGCACAGAGCCCTTTTCGGCCCTGTGCATAATGAATGTTTGAGGCCAGCAAATGTATTGTACTCTATGTACCTGAGAAGGGGTCATACATTATTGAACAAAGGTGCTTGTGCAGAGTCAACAAGATGTGGATGTAATGCAAAAAGTCTGATGCAAACACAAAGCGCCATCATAAATGCTGGTTGCATACCTTAAAAGGATCCTAACAAAAGTGCTCACTTACGTCTAATGGCCTCCAAAGAATGTGTATTAAATATGGTATATGAGCTGCCCTTGACACATACAGTATACTGCCTATAGGTGATGGTGCAGCTGTGCACTGTATCTGCCCTGTCATTTATTTCCATAGGAGAGGCCTGAAATGTTTTTTTGCCTGAGAAGCAATCAAACATAAGACAGCGCCATTACAGCGTCCATAACAGCGCATCATGGTACAGCATAGATGGAAATCCCATATAAAGAATTGATGTGCGGTTTAGGTGAATGCTTGACATACTCTCTATCGCTTATTCCCACTGTATCAAAAAGGTCATAGGGCAACTCATAAAAGTTGCACAGAGTGACAAGCGTACAGAGGATCTTTTACTGTTGAATACAAGCACTCCCTTGGCAGAGCTTATGGAAAGCTATCTATTAATCAGCCTGAAGAAAAGAAAGTGGCGACCCTTAACAGTTGTTAGCGGCGCTAATGTGCTATAAAGGTTTGTCATAAGTGTCTTTGATGAATGCATTATTGCAAAAAAGCGGTAAAAGCTTCACAAATAAATGTAGCAAGAGTTTGTTTCAGAATGGAAAATTGTGTTAGTTCTGACTAAATATCAAGCAACCCACCTTAACAATCCTGTTTCCTCTGCTTCAGTCTGTTCACAGTTCTCAAGAGGAGTGTACGCCATCTTCGGATTCTACGACAAGAAGTCTGTCAACACCATCACGTCATTTTGTGGGACGCTCCATGTGTCCTTCATTACGCCCAGCTTCCCTCTGGATGGGAATCAGCAGTTTATCATCCAGATGAGACCCGATATCAAAGGGCCCCTTCTCAGCCTTATCGAGTACTACAAGTGGGACAAGTTCGCCTACCTGTACGACAGCGATCGAGGTAAGTCAAGGACAACATTGTTTATCTTTTGAAAGCATCTTTCCATCTGAATGTTAGCGCTATGCGTCATGGCACCACCATTCTTTATATTAGAGCTGTTTTGATGTGTTTCCTTTTGAAGTTAGAGTGGGGAAGAATGACAGCGTGTAATGTACTGTAAAACAGGGGTTATAGCTCCTGATTATTTCTACGTTGATTGAAAATTGCATGTTTCTCGTATGAACATGACCTTTCCCTGAGCGATACAATTACGTCCCTTTCAAACGGATGCAATCATTTGACTATAAGCAATCCAGAAATTGTGTTCAAACTGCTTCTTTTATAGTAACCACTAGTTTTGTGTGACACCCTCTACGCATGCAACACAGGTAAAATCCAGGTTAAGGGCATTTTGGTTCCCGAAAAAGAGCTTGTCACATAGAATCAACTTTAACACCTCCTGTGTTTAAAGAGTCTTGTCTTACGTAATATTAAGGGGAGGTGAGAGAGTCATCTTTGACGTACAGTAGAGGTGATGTGCCCTGCAGATGTGAACTTCCACCCTCGTATCTACATTCAGGTGTGTTTTGTTGTGAACACATGGCTGTGTTCCCATTACAGTGGTTGACTGGTCTACCTTTCTATTTGCAATTTTGAAGACAGTTGGACGTTGAATATGAGGCAGCTAAAACAAATTAGACACTCACACAACACACAGCTGGATGGCTTCTGATTGAGAAAGCTTCAGCAACCAGTGTTTATGAAATCATTGGTTTCCTTGGATCATTTTTTAATTAAGTATATAAACAGGCATCTCTGATTTGTTTTCATAAAATAAAATAAAAACAACTGTAGCTTTAGATGTGGGAAGCAGTATTTGAAATATTGGAAAAGTGATAAATAACAAATGAGATTTGCGGTTGTGTTAACATGTTCCCGATTTAAATATTGAAAGGTATTAATCACCGCTGTACATATTTTTTTCTTTAGGTTTGGTTTCTTTTCCCTTGAGTTTTTTGCTCATTTTTCAGCTCTGCAAGGCTTCACATTTCTCGGTAAACACTGAGTCACAGCTGGGAGTTACCCATCTCTTATACTTTTGGCCTCAGGATTAATGACGCTTTTGAGTGAGGAGACATATCCCTAACATGCACACACATACCCAGCTGGTTGCCTCGATCTCAAGAATCGTCGTCTATCCATTTGTTAGCATCATTATTACACAAATTATTCATCATTCTTCACATTTAATTAAATAAAAATCATGAATTAGGCACTTTAAAAGTCTGTGCTTAGCCTCTGCACCAGGTATAGCCATAATGGATAAGATCATGGACTGATTTTATGCAAGATGAAAAATGATTCACCCCTAAACTGTAATATCCAGACTTACTTCATATTCAAATCTTTCCCGTCTGTATTCTTTGATGCCTTTCATCAGTTATGTTTTTCAATTCAACCCTGATACTGAAGTCTGGAGATTTTAATTTAGGAAACATTTTTCTTTGCTGTCTGAATGGTTCTTCACAGGCTCTATCTGCCTTAAGACTTGCGCATTTCTTTCATCTATTGTCTGAATTTTACACACTATGAAAAGTCGTGTTAAAAGAACACACTTTTGTCTCTTGTGGGTTATCTCTCTTTGCACCAGCTAATTGTGATTATGTGACTTGTACCCTTAAGGCACGGACACACCAGGACGATTATCGGCGTCGATGGGCGTCAGGCCGACCATGAGCGCCGACACGCCCTACTCAGATTGGTGTGTCCCGCACCGTCCGGTCTTTTCAGCCGTGCCGATTCAACATGTCGGGCAGTCGGCCAAAGGCAGTCGGCAAAATAAATCACTCTGATTGGCTGTTCAGCTAGCGAATCAGTGCATGAGAAGCGAAACGGAAGTGAGGGACCCAAACAAACTATTAAGAAGGCAAATCTGAGATTTCCTTTAACTCCAGCTCTCGACACAGGTTCGGGAAAGCCCCATGAGCTTCTTGCTGTAGAGTGAAAATGGAACACACACGCTATTTGTTGTTTGTTTATATCACGCAGTCTGTTCTTCTTCTCTCGGTTATCACGCAGTCTGTCTTCCGGTTGTTGCCTCTTTTGAATGACGAATACACACTACCGCCGCCTGCTGGTAAGGAGAGTTATTGCCACTCACGCATGCGCAGTTCGTACGTGCTTCTTGGCCGTCGGCTGAAGTCTTTGCGGTGTGTTCCAGTGCGACTGTTGGCCAAGACGCAGAGACGCGAGGCGACGCAACAGTCGGGGGTCCGTCTGTGTCAGTTCTTTGGTGTCAGCTTGGTGTGTCCGGGCCTTTAGAAAACAACTCATCCTCGTGCAGCACAGAGGAACCGTCCAGAAAATAGAGTTTCATTCTATTTAAACACTGTAGCTGCATTGGAAGAACATAAATATGGTGCATATGGATTACATATCCAGTATCAGGAATAATATTATCAAGTCTTTATTTTTTGTCTTTTGCATTTTCTCTTTGTTAAATGAAAATAATTCATGATTATTATTTCAAGCACACTAAAAGAAGGAGTTTTAGGTCCAAAATAACTTACCTTGAAGATGTTGAATTCTTAAAAATGGCTTACCAGGACATTTATGTTATACATTGAGTGGCTTAAAGTAAAAGGAAGTGGAATCATTACTTCCTGTTGAATACAGTGAAGTGTGGCTCAACAGGGATTTAGTGCATTTCTGCTCTGCTTTACCTTAAACCTATCACATCCAATTGCATAAACTCTCCCACTGCACATTTTTCCCTCCATATTCTCTTGATCTTTCTACAGTATTTCCTTCATGCTGTACCCTCCCTCTCATCTCTTTCCACACGCTTTCCTCCCAGAATCCATTGCTAATCTTCCCAGTGAGCCTCTCTGTGACTGACGGTTGAACCAAAAATCTTCCCTCTCCCAAATCAGAGGACCGGTTCCAACCTGCTGTTTTAGGTTGTCCTCATGCTAATGCTAGCTCTGACCTGCTGTCCCTACTGTATGGCACTAAAGGGCCTGTTGTGCATATTTCATCATTGCATGGCTTTCTAATTAGGTCAGTGTGATCCACTCATTCCCATGGCAACTGCTATGTGGAGAAAGACAGAGAGAGAGAGAGAGAAAGAGAGAGAGAGAGAGATTGTAAGTGACTGAGTGGGTCAAAGAGAGAGCCGGGAGACACAAGGCAGTAGAGTTGCCACTGGTTATGATGAATTATATTAACACATTGAGACTAATAGATGTACCAACACCATTGTCAGCTTTTGTCAGCAAGTCAGTTTAGATAATGACTATCTGTTTATATGTGGGCGGAAAGGCACTATGAGTGTTTTTGTATTCTGTTGGCTGAATGCAAATGATTTGAAACACATTTTCCGACTATATTTTTCACATTTTAGTACTGGACTAATAGGAAATGAACAAAGAAGAACATTATTATTACAGGTTTTTACAACCACCTTTCATCATCATTGCTATAAAAGAAGCCCATTATTCCTTGGAACTGTGTTCGATTCTGCATCTCAGAATTTATGTCCAGTGTCAATGTTTAATGGCAATGCAGGGGGTAGTGTGCCCTTTTATTATAGAGCAGGACTCCTCACCTAGCTTCAATTAAAACATATTTAATGTAACTATAGCCTAGATATTATACCTTAACCTTAACGTAGATTGTAGTTGTTCAATCCTTATTCCAGCTCTCATCTTAAACCTGCAATAATCAGTGTTATTTGTGTTAAACTCAGTGAAAGTGTAGTTGTAACTCTTACCCTCAATACTACGCAGCTTTGTTATTAAAGTAAAGATCATGGGTAAAGCGGTACGGCTTTTTCTGTGGCTATTGTCATTGCAATGTGGCTGTGGCTTTAGTTATTGCTGTCCCAGCTTAGTTTAGTTTCAACGTGTAACCTATGACTATCCCAAAACTTCATCTTCTGTGGCCCCACAAGAGCTTGCAAAGAATATTATATGTTAATTATACAGTTACATGATGATTTACAGAAGCACGTTGCCAATAAACTACATGTCCCACAATGCATCTGAAATTTGACTTTTTTTCTTCAAAATTTGACTTTTTTCTCAGAATTTGACTTTTTTTTCAAAATGTTACTTTTATTTCAAAATGTTACTTTTTTTAAATGTCACTTATTTAAAAAAAAATGCACTTATTTTTTCAAAATGTCCCTTCTTTTTGTTTGAATGTCACTTATTTTTTCCATAATTTTGCTTTTCTTTTTAAATCATTTTGTGACATTCTCACTGAAGAGACTTGCAATTATTTGCCCTAGACTTCTGCTTTCAGACGTAGTTAATTATGAAGTTATTACCCTACAGTATCTGATAATAATCCAATGCAGAGGTAATAATGTAATATAATACATTATTTTATATATATTTATATATGTATTTTTATATAGTCTTACAGTTACAACCGGCCCTTTGAGAGCAGCCATAATGCTGATGTGGCCCGCGATGAAATTGAGTTTGACACCCCTGCATTACATCCAGCATCTTGTCCTGCGTTTGCAGTCGATAGATTTGGCTATAACTAGGCGCATAACTTGTGAATACATTAAAGCATTTAGTAGCTAAATGGCAAGTATGAGAGTTAGTGGACAGTAAATTAAAAGATTGAATGGGTTTATGGTACATTAATCAGGTGGTCAGAAATACAACTCCAGATAAAAGCTGATGGTGTTGAATCTGTTTGATGAGTCAATAAGAAATTGCTTGCTAAAATGTAAAAAGCTAAAATATGTTACTGTTCATTACTGTTTTTGAATTGTTTGGTTGCCAAACGTTGTCAAAAGAAACATTTCACCTTATCTGTTGTTTTACCAAGGTTTTGGATATAAAAATGCAATGATACATTGCATTAACTTGTTGTTGAGGTCATAAGAAGGATATCATATTTGTGGCCGTCCATGAGATGATGCATATTCTTCTCCTTCTTTCTAAGGAAATAATCACTTACCAACTGATTTAAGTGGTGCTTTAATTGGCGTATTGCAGAGAGTGGAGATCCATACCTGGGAAAGCATCCTGCATAGAGCCTGAATGAGGAAACAATAGCTCGAAGCAAAGAGATTATATCTAACGTGAGGCTGCAATTGTTGGTATTAAACTGCTTTCCCTTATGCATTATTTATGAGCCATTTCTTGCCTCATTTAAATTGTTTTTCATCATATTATGCATATGATCAACTCATTAAGATGTTGTTGATGAATAAGCATGAAGTTAAGCTATTACGCATCCACTGTGCGTTCACTAGCAGAGCAGAAATAATCTCCTCACTGGGAAAAGAGACGTATGGTATGGCCAAATTGCTGAATAACAAAATCTTACTTTGCACGCTGGCTCGTGTCTCCTTAGTCTTTCCTGACCTTTTAAATCCAGGACAACCTAATTGTATGCAAGGTCACGTAATATCTTAACTCTCCAGAGCATTGAAGGCTCTGTGCCAATTTGAATGGATGGCATAATGTTGGCTCCAAGCCAAGACATAACATATGTCTCATTCTGAAGAGAAGTGATAAGGATAATAAGCATCACACAGCAGGCGTTCAACCGCAGAGGAAATCAGCGAAGCCAAGTCTCTGCTTGAGTTAGAGAAACAACAAATGTTTTTGATTATACCAGTGTTCTTTGTAAAAATATATAGATAATAGGGTAGATGGATGTGAAGCAGATTGGAGAAAAAAAATGCTTAATCGTGAGTGTTGTATAAGCACTGTGCTTTAACACAGTCATAAAGAAACCTACAAAACTGTTGCTGGATACTAGACTTGGTTGGAGTTTCAGTCAACAGTGGACAGCAATGCATTACTTATTGTTCACCTATTAATCCCATTTGATATTTAATATGTTAATAAGGCTCTCTTGATATTGGCTTACAAAATGGTATTATTTGTATGATACTGTATGTGTGTCCTAGCTGGCTAGCTAGCTACTAGTAAAATGACATTCATAATATACTGTACCAGCGTTGGAGTATGCGTAAACCAAGAAAGAATTGTCAGTGAATGCCTCCACATTTTTTGTTAGCCGCAAACGCCTCATAATATGTCTTAGAAAGTTAAATACAGCAAATGTGAGTGTGGGTCTTTAGAGTTGTCCTAAGGGCTATTTGATGGAGCTGGACTGAGTCATGGAATGTAATGTTAAAAACACTGTAGCCCATCTAATCCATTTTTGCCAATGAGTAATAAATTGCTTTTTTAGTGAGTTCTACAAAAGATAATATTATTTTTTAATCTTGACAGAAGGTCTCTCACCACAGTAACATTTCTTACTCTGTTCAAATCTTCATCAATTTTGTACCGTTAGCTTGGGGCTGTTTTTACTCGTGGTTAGGTCCATTTCACCAGTGGGGTTTTACTGAAGAGGAAAAAGTGTTGTGTTGCTACGGTTACCTTGTGCTCTAATTCAGAATCCTGGTTAAGCATTTAACAACGTTTTAAAATGTCAAGTCATTCAGTTTTAATGAAAACCTGCCAGGCTAACGGAAATTAACCTTTCTTTGACTATCGTATAAGTGCAGAAATGGAGCTCTGGGAATCGTTGCCTCTGCGTACTGCATTTAAATATTGTGTGAAACATTTTTTATTTAGTAGATTATGTCATGAAGATTAGTAAGAAATATACATAAAACCATGTGTTTAAATTAAAACAGCGATGCTACATGCGATCCCAATCTATATATGTGCAATATACCAAACAAGCTGCGACAAAATATAACTATCACCCAGAAAATAAGACATTTACAAACATATTTCTACTTACTGACCATTTAGAGCCACATTATGCAGTGGCATGCCCGGTTCAAAGGCACTAACACTTTCAAAGACATTTATAATGTAGGATATTCATTTAACTTTAATGTGGAATCAACTTTTATGCTAACATTTTGCTTTTGTCCTTGCTTTATCTTCCCTGTAAATCATTACAAGTTCTAATTATCTCATTTAATAAACATTGATGTAACAGACACATTTAGCCACAGCATAATGACCTTATTGTAATAATGATGTATAGTTCATTCAGATAATACTGCAAGCCTCCATTTTCCTCCCCATCATCATAAAACCTAGCCGTGTCGCATGAAATTGATTACATCTGTAATTCACCTCGCTGTAGCAAGGCAGAATGAAACACTCCACCTTTTTTATCCGAACCTCTGCCCACTGCAGAACAGGGATCAATATCAGCACAGATTCAGCTGCGAAACTCGATAGAGAAGGTGATAGGAATGTGAGTTGAAATGGAGACTGTATTCTTTAAATGCCTTTAAAAGATTGATGGAGAGGCGTGACATGTAATTGAATTACTCACACACGGCAGCATGTGTCTGTTCTTGACTGTACTATATAATTCAGTTTAATGTTTTGGGGGTTTATTGGTTTTTGGGAACAAATATATTCCTGTTAGCTATTCTGTTTCCAAAATTGTGAAATGGAGCTGTTTTAGCTTATTTGAAACTATTGCACCAACACTTACAAAGGTTTGGTGCAAATGTTAAGCAAATGTACCTGCATGGATAAAAGCCTTAGCTAAATGAAATGTCAACAATAACAGGTGAGCCCATACATTGATTTGTATGTAAAGATTATTAATTTCTATAGAGAACAGGGGTAAGTTGCGCTCCTTCTAGACATTCATATTTTCTTAAGCCATCGAGGGATGAGTTATCGCCGACTTCCCTAAAGGCCAAGGGAAGGGGGGGCAAAGGGAATCGTCTCTGACTAAACTGAGGGTTCATTCTTAATTTTGGAAACAATTATGTTTACTCGCTTGTTCTAAAGCTTTCAGTCATACTGTAGCATACCATCCGCTTTATAGTTGTCAATGAAGTGCACATTTTCAAACTGTCCGTTATTTTAGTATTTCTCCTCCATGTCTGACTATATATTGAGCTTGAGATCTCATTCTTGACTTTGCGCACAGAAAACATTCTCAGAATAACAATACATGGTGGAAATACTGGAAGGTTTGTATAAATACATGGCAACTGCAAGAAACCTGAGAGAAATTGAAGGCTGTGTGACGGTGAACAGTGACCTTGTGTACAGCTTGTTTTCTCACAAAATAAATTGTTTCAAAAGTTGAGAGGAAAAACACAAAAAAAACTGTTTTCCAACATAAAACAGCAATTTAAAACTTTCGCTATTCATGCAGTGAAGTGTATTGTTACAGCCACTTCCCTCCCACACGTTGGTCCGGTTCATTCCACAATACCTGTGACTCATCTAGGTGAGCGCTTTGGATCAAATGAGTCTCTGTAAAGCCTCCACAGGATTTGAAAGAGCAGACAGTGAATGGTCTGTAATGAAAGTTTATTTTCATATTATTGTGCTTCCAGCTTTGGTGTTTTTGTTCTGTTATCATGACTTCCCTGCTTTGTGTTCTTTACATTCTGTATGTGGCTGTGATTTTAAAGTATGCCCACCAAAAATGAAATACAAACAAACAATATAGGAGAGCTGGTTTCAGGGAAATCAGGAATTCAATGCATAACTTGAGCAGAAAAGGTAACAAAGATACTGTGCAGAAACACAAAGCATGATATCTTCTTCTCCCTATTCCCAACGTATTCTTTCCCAACATTCTTGCTCTTTTTCTCAACAAGGTATATCTAAAAACTTGAATGTTCTCCAAAATGTTTCAGGACCAAAGAATAATAACGAATCAGTCAGACGGAGAGAATGAATAATGTTTAAATCCTACTTAATTTCTACCCTCAGGACTTACGACGCTGCAGGTTGTTCTGGACACAGCGGCAGAGAGGAAGTGGCATGTGACAGCAATCAACGTGGGGAACCTGAAAGACGAGAGGAAGGATGAGGCCTACCGCTCTCTGTTCCAAGACTTGGAGAACAAAAAGGAGAGGAGGGTGATCCTGGACTGTGAACAGGACAAAGTCAAAGACATCATGGAGCAGGTAGTGTGTGTAGTTTTTTAACGGTATAGGCAATATACTGTATGTAGGCAGTATACTGCAACAAAGAAGAAATCCGTAACATCTGCTAAAAACATTGAGGACCTACAGTATACTGTTATCTTGACATGATTTGGAAAGGTTTGCCACACTGTAAGCACAGAGCTTCTGGTATTGGTGTATTGTCTTTCTTTGATCTGTCATTTGTGACTTTCAAGCGGGTTAGGTGAGCTGGGATTCAGGTAGAGGATGCTGCTGCTATGTTTTCAGTTGTTGGAACAAATAATGCACTTATGGGGGTGTACTGCTGTCAGCAGTCAGACCTCTGTGGTTTGTTCAGGTCCAGTTTTTCTCTTCCATATCACAGCCTGTAATTTGAAAGCATCTCAAGGAAGCTAGTATCCAAGGAAGCAAGTGTCTTATCTTTTCTTATGATTCTCTCTTTACTATCAACCATCAATGAGAGTTATACATATATTGAACAATAAGAGAATAGTTTACATATCTGCTTATTAAATCATCAAGATCTTCCTATAGCTTGCCCAATAAATGGTTAAGACAACACTTTTCATTTTGTTGTATCCATATATTGTAGGTACTTACAATGCTTACACAACACTGCTATATTAGATATAAGAATGTTAGTGAGTGTGATATGAGTTTTGCAACTTTTTTTGTATTTCCATCATTGATTTTGTGATTTGCTATGTTCAATTACCAGACTAATTCTGGGCAACACAGTTAATGGTTCAATTAAATTAGACTATGTAGCTAATACAGATTGAAATTGGCCAATGTGACTTAATTTAAATTCACAGGATGTTAGAAAACAGCAGGGAAGAGTCATAAAATCACCAAAATGACTCATCATGTACACAGCAATGTACCCACAGTTTGCTAACAGAAGCTATCATAAGCTGCTGGCCATACCAGACAAGGAACACTTAATAAATCACAATTCAGTTAAGCCAAAAATGCAACCGCAAACAAGACACTTTTACTAACGACAGTCTACTACAGTCCAACTGAACTGAAAAGGTAGCTTGCCTTTTAACAATTCAAGGACATAATTGCTACCTTCCTTTCTGTTTCACGACAGAAAACGGCCAAGAAGAAGGGCAAATATGAATATCTTATTGTGTGGGAATACAATTGGGAAGTGTAAATAACAATTACCGGCAGGGATTGCAGGCAATGCTAACAACCTCATTGTCCTTGAATTACTACTGTAGGACAAAAGTGATCTTCAGCCAAAATGGGTTCATTTGATACGGCACTTAGAAAAACAACATTGTCACAAGGACCCAGCAGCCCAGCAGATGTAGAAAGGCACCATAACAATTATACTAATTGTTCATTTAGGCGGTAAACAAAACTGCAATTAAAGGAAAAACAGATACACATAAACAGGTTATATTTACTCCACCCTTTACCCAGGAGAGAGGCTTATCGATTAGCATTTAAAGCATGCCAACTTCTGTTTAAATGAATGCTGAATGAAATCAATGCCTGCAGCCTCACTGCCTGTTTATCTAGGAAAAACAGAATCCGTTCAGGTGGAAGTTTCTTGCTTCATGTCAAAGACATTTACGTGCGAGATAAACAACGTTATTATTCAAATTCTTCAAGCCGCGGCGGCCCTGACAAACGGAGGTGCCACTCAGGCAACAGGATTAGTTTCAGGTGTCTCATTTATGTGAGGTACTGAAACGGTACATAACTGAGATATTCATGTTATTTTCTGCTTTTCTGCTCTCCAGATAAGGGTAATTTATTTGGAATTGGATCTCTCTGTCCAGCAGTATTTGACTGTAAACAGCATAGTCTTTTCCTTTGTGATAAGGGTTAGGAATGTCCGCCATGTTTGGGTTGGAAGTGACAAATTATAATGTCGGAATATCATTTCAAATTTGTACAGTTTTGATAGGTATTTGTTTTGCCATCTTGTTTACCCGAGACTTGCCACTCTTCATCCTATTTGAGCTTATTTTTGTATGTTTCTCATTACTCTGCAGATCATCACAATTGGCAGACATGTTAAAGGCTACCACTACATTATAGCCAATCTGGTAAGTGAACACATGTTCTACATTTGTCCAAGATTTTGGTACCACTTTAAATGTTTCTAAAATGCCTCAGATTGAGAGATTACATCTAGGTCTATAATCTTTTTGTTATCAGGGTTTCATTGATGGGGACCTAACCAAAATCCAGTATGGCGGTGCCAACGTGTCGGGCTTTCAGATTGTTGACTTTGAGGATCCTTTGGTGTCCAAGTTTGACCAGAGATGGGAAGCCCTAGAAGAAAAGGAGTATCCTGGTGCTGACAGTAAAATAAAGGTGAGTTTAAACATTCCCACACGTTGCTTTTTCTTTATTTGCAAGACAGGTTTGTTGGTGAAAGTGTCTTTGTAAGCACTTTAATGTGCCTCAGTTGCTCTAATGTAAGTAAACAATGCTGTCACCACAACCGATTTTATGACCACATTGCACTGTGTGTGCATTATTAAACACCTCTCTGAGTAAAGATTATTCTGCTCTGTAACCCAACGATACATACATTTTCCCATGAGTGCTAGCATGTCTTAAATTATGTTATTTAATATGCACGCAATGTCAATTGAATCAGGATTGTATGATATTAAATCAAGACGTTAGTTTTTTCCCCTATACCAGCCATTCGATGTAACTAATATAGTATAATCTTTCAGAATTGAACTCGCCTCCCACTCTGTGTCTTCAAGAGACACTGTAAACTACTCGCATTTGACATATCAGCCTCTGCCAAAAAATGTCCAGCACCTTCTGTCTGAACAATTGTCAAAGTTCAGGATCTTTTTTATTACCTCACAGCCAGGCTGCCGAAAGTGATTCAAGTCCGGGTGAAAAATCACTCTGACATTTACAACGCTGAACAAACTATCGCAGCACAGACCAAAAATACATCAGAAAAATTAAAAAGACTACCAAAATAAAATATGCACTCTAATTAAGACTAGTTGCCTTAATACTGAGCAGGACGTGTGGTTTGTGAGTGTTCAATACTTATTTTCAACATTATAATTTGTTTTAAACATGAAAGTGAGAATAGACCTTAGAGTTAAAGCCTCTTTTGTCATCTAATTATTCTGCTCATAAAACATTGTTGAGGCGAAGTTGTGTTCAAGATCCATAGTTTGACTTGAGGTAAAGACCTGACATTATCTATGTAGTTTGCCTCAAGTCATAAATCCATCTGCATTGGAGCAAATCATGTTATTGTAGCAAAATGTGACTCCACAGGTCTGCTCTTTTTCCAAGTGAATTTAGTGTTTGGCAATAACTTCTTCATTTATTCTCTCAGCAGTGATGTTCTCTGTTATAGAGCAATCTTTGACCAGCTGTGCTGGTAAACCAAGAGCGTGCTGTGCCTGTGTGTCTGCAGTTTAATGACACCACATTCAGTGATTTCTTGGTCTTATTTACCTTTGTCACTGCTATTCCAAGAAAGACGAAGCGTAAACCTAAAGGCTACGGGTGAAAACACCCTGGAGCTTTGTTATCGTCAAAAGACCAGAGCCAATAACACATTTTAGCCAAAGTAGTCAATCAGGAGTACATTTTGTGTTTTTGTTATGGACTTCTTTTATTTGTGGATTTTGAGCTTTGTGAGTATTTATGGTAGATTAAAACTAACTAAAGTATACATAAAAAAATTTAAAAAAACATGTATCAGAATCAGAATTGCTGATTAATTGCTTTTAACATTCTTGACCAACAACTAAAATCAATCACCAAGGATTAATCAATATCAGCATATGGCGAGAGTAAATATTATGGTAGAAGCAAGGGTTAAGCTGACATATACCTCTCTGTCAACCCCAATCTCAATATCTGTTGTCTTTGTCCTGCTCTAGTACACATCAGCGTTGACCTACGACGCCGTGCAGGTGATGACGGAGGCCTTCCGCTACCTGCACAAGCAACGCATCGACTTCACCAGGAGGGCCAACACTGGGGACTGCCTGGCCAACCCCGCTGTCCCCTGGGCTCAGGGAGGGGAGATAGAGCGAGCACTAAAACAGGTAACACATCTTACTTATACACATCCTTTGATATGGGGAAGATCTCTCTTGAGAAATGCAGCAAATGTCCACACTGTTTTTACCATGTGGGAACATGCAGCTATATGGACAGCTGTTCTTCAGAAGAGAAACAGAGCTGAGCTTTGAATCAAGACAGATTAGCATCACTGAGAAATGGAGCCTTACAGCAAACGCATTTTTTATAGCTACAGGTTCTGTAGTTGGAATACAAATCAAATTGTTAAGAACAAAAGATAAGAACAATCGATATTAACAGAGAATCTTGACTTAAGGTAATCATATTCAGACAACGTACACCTATTCTGAAACAACATCATGGGTAAAACGTACATCTGAGCAGATAAAAATAAAGAAAAAGTACGTGAAACACATTTTATGAAGAGAAATCCTTATGATGTTACACCAAGAGTTTGGGTTTATCATCCATGCTGAGATTTTTGTAATCGTTTGAGCATTGGTAAGGAATGTCGACGTAAGCTTTTCCAGAATTGATAAGCACTTGGCTTTGATGCCCTCGTCTTGTACACAGGAAGTCTGGTTATGCATATTCAAGATGGGGAATAGTTGCTTTAAACCAGCCCATCGGGACAAGACAGGGAGCTCGTGGGTCGTGATCAAACATGTCAGATGATGAGCTCATGTTTTATGCACACGTTTTATGAAAAAATAAATGCATTCAACATGTTTTTTTTCACCCGAAAATACATACTGTACACTGTGTTTTGTTTCGAAGCAACACATAATAATGTTTGCAGGATAACTCCACAGGATACCATTAAGCCTCCTTCTGGTCCTTTTTGCCGTGGCACTTTTGTTATTTAAGTTGGCTACCGAAAAGAAGAGGAGATGGAAATTAATTTCCAAGTTTCTCATCACAGGCTGCCCTCTCCTCTCCAATCTAAAGAGTGTCCTCATGTCTTTTCCTCGCTTTGAAGCACGGCATGAAACCTCATTTCAATCAATTTAGGATCACAGCACTTACTTAGTACTGTAAAAAAGGAGGAGAATACCAGGACACCACTCTCAACTATTCTTCATGGATAATTAGAGACTTCTTCCAAGCTGTAATGTCTTCCTCCAGATTAGCTCAGTCTTTGAATGCAGTATGATGAATAATACAACAGACATCAAAAAGCTGTTTGCATGTGACAGAGCAGTCATAATGTCACTCTGCAGATGCATTTTTCTAACAGTTTGATTTCATGTCTCTAAGGTGCGTGTGGAAGGCCTGACAGGAAACATCCAGTTTGATCAACATGGCAAGAGAGTCAACTACTCAGTCAACATAATGGAGTTAAAGACTAACGGCCCTGTAAAGGTAAGCATCCATTCCACTCCTCTAGAAATGAAGGGATTTACAAATGTTATTGGATATTTCTTTATCATATGGATGGTTTAAATTTGAGGATCAGATTATGTAAAATAGCACTTTTACAGTAGTACTCAAGTACATGCACATGTTTCATGATATTTTTTTCCCAACAGATTGGCTACTGGAATGAAGTTGACAAAATGGCCGTCACCAAATCTGATGTCTTTGCAAATGAATCGACAGGAATGGAAAACAAAACAGTGATTGTCACCACAATCTTGGTAAATATTAAAATATATGATTGCTTGTATAAACGGCTTTCATTGTCTTTCAGGGTCTCCCTTTCTGGTGTCGAGTAGCTTGAGATACAGCTCTTACTGTCGCACATTTTTCAATGCCTTGGACAAAACAAAAGATACATTTAAACGTTATTTACATTCAATGAGAGTGAATTTGCCTAGCCAACATGATTTAGGTATTTTCAATCTCACATTTTCCATTATGGAGAGGTTTCTTCTGTTTTGTTGTAGCACATAATTTCTGTATAAATCATGTTATCAGATTGACAACCAGTTTACCACCAGGCCACTTATTTACAAGTATGCTTTGTTTTAGACCCTCGCTTTCTTCTAGTCACAATGACCTGTCAGCCTGAAGTGAATAATTTGCTTTTAAAGCTGCTTTTACCATTGTTATTTGTGCTGAGCAGTGTTTTCTGTTTTCGTCTTTGTCCTTCAGGAAGCTCCATATGTAATGCTGAAAAAGAACTCTGAACAGTTTACTGACAATGAGCGCTACGAGGGTTACTGTGTAGATCTGGCTGCGGAGATAGCGAAGCACTGCGGCTTCAAATATCAACTGAAAATAGTGAGTGATGGGAAATACGGAGCCAGAGATGCGGAGACCAAAATCTGGAACGGGATGGTTGGAGAGCTGGTGTACGGGGTGAGTGGTCTTTAACAAAAGGTAACATAAGTCATTGATCAACACCACATGGCACCTATTCTAAATATTCCGTTTTGGTTTTATAGAAAGCTGACATTGCAGTGGCTCCTCTGACCATCACTTTGGTACGAGAGGAAGTGATTGACTTCTCCAAACCCTTCATGTCTCTGGGAATCTCCATCATGATAAAAAAGCCTCAGAAATCCAAACCTGGTGTCTTTTCTTTCCTGGACCCGCTGGCCTACGAGATCTGGATGTGTATCGTGTTTGCCTACATAGGCGTAAGCGTGGTGCTGTTCCTTGTCAGCCGCTTCAGCCCGTACGAGTGGCACACTGAGGAGTATGAGGACGGGCAGATCCAGACCAATGAGTCAACGAATGAGTTTGGCATATTCAACAGCCTGTGGTTCTCCCTTGGAGCCTTCATGCGCCAAGGCTGTGACATCTCACCTAGGTAGGTCAGACAATTCAACAGCTGCAGTGTTTTTCTCAGTTTAATCAACCACAAATAACTTGTGACTTGAATGTAAGTGTGCTTTATTGCATTTCTCACAGAGGTTATTGACAGCTGTGATTTTGCAAATGTGACTTACTGTAAGCCAAAGTGTATGTTTAGCTATGCTGGCAGTATTTTGTCCAACACCTTAGTCCAGTATTGGGATCAGTTGATGGACTAGAATCAATGCAAAAGAACAATGATTAACTTTGGAATGTCTTTCTACACATTTTCATTAGACTACACTTCATTTACCTTTTGTCCAAAGCAACTGACAATACAACAGTAGAATAAACCATGAAGATAGCTTTCAATAAGACCAATTATAGCAGTGGCGAGCCGTCAGGGCCCTCTAGGCCCTCTGTGAGGGCCTAAGATATTCCAAAAAATAATATTTAAAAACATTAAAAAAATATATATTTTTTAAAAATATATTTTTTTTTTATATTATTTTTGTTATATTTTTCATTAGTTTTACCGAAAAAAAACTTGATTTAATAAAATAACATTTCCAAAGAAATAAATCCTTCGAATCTGCCTGTTCGGTCTCTGTTTGAATGTGAAGGGTTACATGAAAGAAGGTCTGGCCCTCTCTGCGATTCACAGAGGGCCCGCTATAGTAACTGAACGAGAGAGTAATGTCAAATGACAGTACAATTGACCAATCATATCTTCCCTCTAAATGGGTGGGTTTCATTTTCGCGGACTTTATGACAAGTTCCGCCCGCTGTGAAACTTTTCTTGTTTCCATAGCAACAACAACTTCCTGTCAACAGCGTGAACTCACCTTCAAAATAAAAGCATGCCAAATTACACTTAAGACATACAACTGTAACGAAAGTAACAAACACAATGCAATATCATTTTCAATGTCAAAGAACACAAATTGGGTTCACAGGTGTTGTTTTGTGTGGTAGAGGGTCGCTGTCATTGATGCGTTTTGCACCCTGGGCCGTTGTTTTGATATTCCGCTGAAGTATACGCTGTGACGTAATAACTCTTTTTTTTCCTTTTTTTCGAGGGAAGGGGTGGGGGTCAGAGGGCCTAGGTATAAAGCTCACGGCTCGCCACTGAATTATAGTGCTACTGGATTGGCATCAAATAAGCCAACATTTTCTATGAGCTAGCTACAGCAATAAACGTTTTTTGTTTTGCTTTAAGCCTACCCCTAACATGTTGCTACTCAGGGTTACTTTGCCACTTGAAATCAAACAAACAATCTAGTTTAGCTAATAATTTTTCCAAGCTGCCCAAAGGAGACTCACTTTTTATAAATTCCTGGCAGGAATCTTCCAAACTACAACAAAACATCTAGTTTTTCGGTAGTGAGGTTAACCTCGAGGTCCACAAGAAGGACTGTTCATATCTCAATGTACTGTATGCCAGCCAGAGGCATTCCTGCTGTGCTATACTTTATTCAAAAGTGCCTAAAAGGTGATTTTTGTACGTTATAGATACAAGTTATGTATGTCCTGCAGTGCTAAATAAGGGAGTTACGTAAATGGTTCTCCTTCATTAATTTAGTGTCAGATACACTTTTGCATATAAAGATTTAATATCTTGTGAGAGCAGGCACTTGTAAGTAATGTAAGAGTCTTGTTTTCCCCGGAGATGATTCAACACGTCTTCTACATCTCATCCCGGTGATGTGAGGAGTGTCAACATGCCTTCCGATCAGGAGACTGTGTTGTTTATTATTATATAATGCTTGGTTATTTCTCCAACTGAAGCAAGACGTTTCTACCTATAATTCAAAGGCTATCACTTTAATTGCTTATCAAAATCCATTAATAAATCCTTTTAACAAAAATAAAACTTTAATGAAATCACGTCCATCCACTCACTACAGTTGCAGAATCTTTCGTTGATACTGAATAATATTTAAAATACCGGTACATGTAATGTACTATGGAATCATAACAAACACAAATCAAAATATATTGATTTGTTTTTCCAATAGATCTCTGTCTGGGCGTATTGTTGGGGGCGTTTGGTGGTTCTTCACTTTAATCATCATCTCCTCCTACACCGCCAACCTGGCTGCTTTCCTGACTGTTGAGAGGATGGTCTCCCCCATTGAAAGTGCAGAGGACCTTGCCAAACAGAGTGAGATAGCCTATGGGACTCTGGACTCTGGCTCTACCAAAGAGTTTTTTAGGGTAAGAGATACTCTCTTATTCTATTACTGTAGAAACAAGGCTTTAGGTTTAAGACTTAAAACTTTAACACAGCATACTTTACTTCTTGCTGAACCATGTTCTTGAGCTGAAAATACTACCTTGTTCTGGAAATGAAATCTTAGGGGTATCATGAATTTCCTGTACGCAGTAAGGTTTTACCCCGAAATATATAGTCAATTGATGCCTTACTCAACCTAAAGTAACATCAGCATACCATTCAATTTTGTTTGGAGCAAATCCTAATGTGTCTAAAAGCTGGTATAACTTGACTTTATTAAGAAAAGGTGTTTTTTTCCTTTTTATTTTTTTCAAAACAGCGCTCAAAAATTGCCCTCTTTGACAAAATGTGGACATACATGCGCAGTGCGGAGCCCTCTGTGTTTGTGAAAACCACAGCCGAGGGGGTTGTGAGAGTCCGCAAGTCCAAGGGGAAGTACGCCTACCTGCTGGAGTCCACCATGAACGAGTACATCGAGCAGCGGAAACCCTGCGACACCATGAAGGTTGGAGGAAACCTCGACTCCAAAGGATACGGGATCGCTACGCCGAAAGGATCCTCATTAAGGTGGGTGGAATAGTATAACAATGTGTCCAATGTTGTTATAGTATCCCACCTACCCTGATGTAGCTTTGCTTATTTGTCTCTGGTTTGTATAAGGAGATGAGGTAAAGCCAATTCCCCTTCAAATTCTTTAAAACCCATTGCAATTTATTGTAAGTCGATAAATTGCAAAAAAATGTTTAGTCATTTTTTTTGATATTTGATTATTGACAAATTTGCTGCAATATTTTCCCAAATTATTACTATTAACAAATTACAGAGTATATTGAGACTCATTCCTCTAATCCAGGCTGGTTTTCAGCTGGGTTTTTGAGACTTATCATATTGTATCACTCCTATATACTCTTATTAATCCGGATTTGAACCTTTTATAATGCTCCCATAATCTAAATTTAGATTGCTCTCCTATAGTCTTTATGTGTAGTACTGTCCAAGCTTGTCTTTTTATATGTTTCTATATGCTTAACAACTTGCCTTACTGTTCTGCTCTTTCTCTCATTTGAATAATGTTGAATTGTTGCATAGTTTGTATATATATGATAAGATATTTTAGGAATGTATAGATAAATGTCTATTTTCTTACTGTGATTTGCTAAACCCTTGCAGTACACTCATTTTATTTAATGACATAATGACTTTTTCCTTTGTGGAAAACAATTGGACGAAACTCAAAATATATACCGCCTTTTATTTGTGGCACTGCTTGGGTTTCAATATGTATGCATTGTTGAATTCTGATTATTGAAGCCATTTAGATATCTATTATAGCTTTTTTCTCAGTGTGCCCCTCAATTGGATCAGCTGCACCAAAAACTCCCTCACCAAACTATTATTTAATGGGTAGTTGGGTTAGATGGTAATTTATTTGGGAAATGTTGCATGTTTCTGACATATTTCCATGAGGTCTAACCATGTTTCCCCCATTACTGCTGTTTTGCTGTCTCTCTTTTAGTGGAGTCACTTGCCAGACACTGTTATATGTATGTTGTGGATGTGAGTACGTTGCTGTAGCCACTAGTCCCCCTAGTCTTAGCACTCTGTCCTCTCTGTTGTGTTACAGCTATGCTCTGCCACCTTTGACAAACATTCATGTTACACTTGATCTTGATTATAGGATAGCTATTTTGTGATAGAACTACCCAAATACTATGAGAGGGGAGGGGGGATAATATACATAAATCTACTATTTTATCTCTAAAATGAGGGAGTGATAGACAGACGATTGATAAGTGGCTCACCCTGTCTTACAAGTATGTTTTATCGTTTCAAGAAATGCGGTTAACCTCGCAGTACTAAAACTGAATGAGCAAGGCCTGTTGGACAAATTGAAAAACAAATGGTGGTACGACAAAGGAGAGTGCGGCAGCGGGGGAGGTGATTCCAAGGTCAGCCCCAGTGAGCAAAGTGATGGGTAACTCATTGCAACTCCCAAAAGTAAGCAGCAAACCAGCACAGATCCCGATCCACACTGACAGCAGGCCAGTCACCTGCTGACTCAGCGCCACAGAAAGCAACCCTCAGCCACGTGAATCATCAGCACGTACTGACAATCAGGTCTCCAAAGAAAGTACAAGACATCTACCTTGAACTCATTAGCTTAGCCTCTTCCCATTGGCCCACTGAACTTGGATATACGGTATATCTGTTGCCTTTGCTGCTTACTTCAGGCGATACGTTAATGCACATTTGGCTCTGCAAAACTCGTATTTGCTTAGGCCAAATGGCGCATCAACGTTTATCGCCACTGCAACGGAAAGAAGAGAAAGAAATGTAAGAAAGAGAATCAAAGACAGAAAAAAAAAAGTTTAATCAGTGTTAATGTAATAATAACATAAAATAACATTGATAATGTTATTTATGTTATTTTCCACGTGAAGAACGCCAGTAAACCTTGCGGTATTGAAACTCAGTGAGCAAGGAGTCTTAGACAAGCTGAAAAACAAATGGTGGTACGATAAGGGTGAATGTGGAGCCAAGGACTCTGGAAGTAAGGTTAGTCACTGCAGGTTCTATGTGATTCAAGCACACTCATAATTATTAGTGGGAATGACCCCATTTAAAGTAATGATAAATCATTTCAAGCAAATGCACAATCAAAGCATGAGATGCCTTGGTAAGATGTAATTTACTAATGCCTGCAGACTTACTAATGATTAATACCATTTATATTATTTTATAATACAGTAATGCATGCAATGTCATTCTTGAAATGTGCACTTTTTATCAAAATGACCCGTTAAATCCTCTTTTTCCAGCTCCCCAATATTCAAAGACAAATGAAATGGAATGCTTTTTTCTTACAAAAAAGCATTCATGAGATATTAATCAATTAAAACATTTGGACACAGCTACACAAAGGAAACGCTCACAGCAATACTGAATACTGAAATCTGACAGTGATTGGCTAATCTCTGGACCATCTATAAAGGGTGTCCAATGGTGTTAACTGTCCTCTGTTGTATTCGTACCACTGTCTTTCACTGTGTAGTACCGTGTGTGAGTCTTGTTTTTGGTTTTTTATGTTTGCGTGGCCTCGTGTTGATCTAAGTGTGTTATTAATGGAGTTCACACTGATTTCACAGTTACCTCTCACTCTTATCACTTAAAATATATCACAAGTTATGAAAAAACCCACCATAAAAAAAAACAATTAGCAAACCGCTCCTTCACCTACCTTTTTTCCCAATGTTAAGCTTCATGAAATCAATTATTAATGAAATGATCCGTGTGAAAAAATGAAGTACTTAGTTCTGAGTGATTCTCTTTCCTCAGTTGGCACTTGTTTCTTTTCCTTGATAATTGATACTCACCTCTGTCTTGTCACTAGTCCCAATTTTTAAACCGTGTAATTGTAACTGTGTTGTCTATGGCTGTTCTGTTGTCACTTTTCCAAACACACATATATTGTGCACCACTTTGAAAAGGTAGAGCCCTATGTATCCATTTGGCATCCACCTTAAATGAATACATGGGTGTTTAACGCGCTAAAAGAACTCACTGTACTGTATGTGTCAGACCCCAATTGGTTTATTACTAAGCTGTCTTCCTCCTTGTCTCTGTCTTTAAGTAAAGGTCTTTGAGCACGTTTGTAACAGCTTAGCCCTTTGTTATGGGCAACCCATGTAAATGGTCCTTGTACAGTACAAATTTCGGATGTAGATCCACAACACATAGACTGTATATGCACTGCATACAAACTGTTGCTGCATTTCATTATGATTACAGTACTAACCAACCTACACTGCTTTAAATTTACCCCAAATGAAAAAGCACCTGTGTGTTATGTCTTGTTAATTTCTGTGCTTTTTAGATATTATTGGCTGTCAAACAAATGTATTATCATTATTAGATGTAGTGGTGCATTTTTGTGCATTTATAGTATTTGTTGTGATTGTTTTATTCATGTGCATTTTTAAAACATTTCCAACTTTCACTTTTGCCCGTCCGCTAACCTCTGTCTCGTGTGCATTTCACAGGAGAAGACCAGCGCTCTCAGCCTGAGCAACGTGGCTGGGGTGTTCTACATTCTGGTCGGAGGACTCGGCTTGGCCATGCTGGTGGCCTTGATTGAGTTCTGTTACAAGTCCCGAGCCGAGGCCAAGCGAATGAAGGTGGCAAAGAATGCACAGAATATTAACCCACCTTCCTCGCAGAATTCCCAGAATTTTGCAACTTATAAGGAAGGTTACAACGTATATGGGATCGAAAGTGTAAAAATTTAGGGGGTAGGGAACGAGGTTTTCATAAATTCCCCCAAATGCACGCTTTTTTGGCTCCATCCGTTCCATCCTTCAGTGTTAGTGAATGAAGAGGTTGGCCACAGGATCGTATGTACTGGTGACTTATGATTTAATGAGAGAGAGAGAAAGCTATTACCCTTTTTAAAGACTAAAACTGTGTTCGTCCATTTAAGTTTCCTTACTATTTTGAACCATTTTCATGTATGACTGTTGATGGCCATGCTTGTTAATACCTCTGTCCTAGTAACGCATTTCAACAATAATGCTTGTAATGACCATGCATAAGCCTTTACATGATCATTTTAATCTTGCATTGTGTTACCCATCGAGATCATATTTGGTTCTCATCTACATTGTCAAGTTTTCAACATTTTATAATCTTTTAAGCTTACATATGTTGAGATACCCTAACCTAACATGTTGCCTCCTTGTTTGTTTATGGATCCTTGTGGGTGTGAATGTGTTAATGTTTGTGCTGGATTGTGTGTGCGCGTACACGTGACATTTGTGTATTTAGATGACCTTTGGGGATGCCATGAGGAACAAAGCAAGACTTTCCGTCACTGGGAGTACCGGGGAGAATGGTCGGGTGATGACTCCAGAGTTTCCTAAATCTGTCCACGCTGTCCCGTACGCGAGACCTGACATGGGACTAAACGTCAGCCTGACAGATCTGTCCTGATCAATGAGAAACTTCTGAGTGCCTTACAATGGTTTCAATAGAGCGTTTTTTTTGTCTTTTCCGTCCTGCCCTCCCTCCTTCTGTTCTGCGGCTTTTTCTGTCTGTCTGGTGAAAAAGGAAAAAGATGGAGGCTTCATTTTGTGGCTCACAAAGACTTGTATTGTTGCTCTCTGTCTCTATTTCTCGCCGTATAAAACCCCTCTTTCTCTCTGGGTGGAATTATATCTCGGAATATAAAAGGGAGACTCTTTTTTTCTAAACTGATGACACCACACTTTCCTATCTTACTGTCTGGACTGGACTGAAACAGAGACGAGGGCTTGATTGACGGCAACGGCTGCTTCTGGGAGTCCGAGTTTCAGCCATCTCAACTGTGTGTGTGTGTGTGTGTGTGTGTGTGTGTGTGTGTGTGTGTGTGTGTGTGTGTGTGTGTGTGTGTGTGTGTGTGTGTGTGTGTGTGTGTGTGTGTGTGTGTGTGTGTGTGTGTGTGTGTGTGTGTGTGTGTGTGTGTGTGTGTGTGTGTGTGTGTGTGTGTGTGTGTGTCTCAGAGGAAGATTTCGTCAAAATCACACTGTTTCTGTAGCCCCCTCCGCCGAACAGGATTTTCAAGCACACTTGATATCATCTGCATTAAGATGTGAAAATGTCCTTTTTTTTCTAAGAAAATCTAAAAAAAAGTTTATTGAAAAAAAGTATTTTTATGTATTTTCACAAAATAGCTTTTAAATAAACTTGCTTACTGGTTGGATATAACATCTTAATGTGTGAGTATTCAAAAGGAATAAAATACTAAACAGCTTATAGTTCCATATTTTTAAAGCCAAATACATTGCATATGGGGCTGAGATGTTGAAATCATGTAATTAATTCTTATTCTAAACTTTTCCTGTATATTTTATTCTTTAACATTTGGTGTTGATATGAAATATATGTCAATGCTTGAAATTTGGAATCAATCCTTCTACGTTTTACTTGTTAGAGTTGGTACAGCAATTTTGCTTTATACTTTTGTCTTTTTGTTTTGCTTCCGCGCTTTTGTTGTTCGTATTTTTTCTGCCGAGAACCAGGGTTGTTCTACTTTGAAAAAGGAAATTGAACTGTTTACATGCCATCAATGCAAAACAAAAAGTATTATCGCATCACATTTTAAAGTGACATCAAAAAGAGGCATTGACATCTACACAGTGGTTTTAAATGCCAAATAAGTGACAGTGCCAAAATCTAGTGCCAGTAGATATGAATATAGTCGTAATATAATCAATCACTGTCATCTCAGTGAATGTAAATTATACATTCTGTAATTTTTGTAACTAGATGTACAGTTGGTGGCAATGACAGTGCTAATACAATAGCCTTTACGCTTTGTTTCTCCATGTATTTTGCATTGATCTGACAATAAAGTAGCACCAGTTGCATGTTGTTGCAGAAAATATTACATAAGTTTATTTCATTACTGCCAAACATGCATTTTCATTTAAATGTTGAAGTTGTGAGGTTAATTGTTTGAAATTGGAAATATAATGTTAGACATATATACAATATATACATATATACATATATTTTATACAAAAAGTTTGAATATGAAAAATGATAGCCCCTTTTCATCAAAGCTACTCTGCTTCCTTTAAATACTAAATTTGGTTACTTATTAAACTAATGTTTTTTTTTTAGCTATTTAGTCCCAACATAAGTTATTTAGAAAACTTATGCAGACAAGCACTTTTAATTATAAGGCACACTTTGTTTTATTTTTTCTAAAATTGACTTATGACGAGTCCTCAACTGCAACACACAGGAAGGTAAACTGTATTAATATTATTACTGTTGTTTTTTTAAATGAACAATATAAACATGTAGTTGCTTATCAAATTTCATCGCATATTCAAGCTATTCTCACTGACATTTTGTATATGGAATGTGTGCTGACTTGTTTATTTTTTGGGACTCTTTCTAAATAAAAGTGGCTGATCTCTTGTTATCTCAAAGTGTTTGTCATTTATTTTTGCTTGAGCAGCCCTTATCCTGAATAAAGCATCACTGAACAAGTTTTTTATTAAATTAAAACTACTTTATTAAATGTCTTAAATGGGACATTTAAAGGAGCCCTTTTTATGCTTTTGGGGTTTTTCCTCTCATGTAAATGGTCTGCAAATGCTAAAATGCCAGAGTTCACGTCAGAGGGAGTGCAATGTCCCTCTAAAATGAGGGGCATTTTAGAGGGACAAGAATGCCCTACCCCCCCCCCAACAAAGTGACATCACTATGTAACACTCGCGCTTCTATTGGCTAGCGCTCCAACACATTGTGTGTGATAGGCTAAGGGGTGGGACATCTCTAAGCGGTTCACCAATCACACATTTCTGGGTTCTGGTTTCAGACAGAGGGTGAAAAGAGATGAGAAAAGTATGAGAAAAATAAAGATCTCTTTGAACATTAAAGCATGTAAACATTTTAACACGGAAAAAAGTCAATGATGCAATTATATTTGATTGAATTCTACATATACCAATATCATTATTGGTTACACGTTTTAAGTTTCCCACTTGCTGTGTAGTTTATCATAAAACGGATCATTATAATGCCAAGGTCAATTGGTCAAGTTACAGGCCCTGTACACGTACATTTTCCAATCACAAATATGTAAGTTATTAGTACGTTATTTTCCCTGATTAGACCTCTCCTTGAGTGCAGACTGTAAAAGGCTCTGCACACTGCACATGTGTTTTCAATTACTCTGGCTGATTAGTCTTCTTCTCAGGTTGAGCCTGGGGCTGCATCTCAGGTTGGTTATTTTCATTTCCTCGCTCCTCGGTCCTCAGTATTACCGGAAGTTGATTTGTCTGCGCCATCTTGAGTAGCGTCCCATGGCGCTTATTTCTGCCGGAGGACCGAGGATCGAGGATCGAGGAGCGATAATGGAGGAGCGATAATGGAGGAACTACTAGACCATCCTCCGGTGAAATCCTCAGATACTCGCCCCGTCCCCTTACTGTGTATCGCTCACTGATTGGACGATGCAGCGCATGCACTGATCTGATGCTTCTTGACATGAGAGCAGTTTACCAGCGGAGTGAAGAAAATACATGAAACTCACGGGAGTCACTCCTCAGTTTATACTGTGTTTTGTTTCAATGAATGTATCATTTAGTTACAAATATGTGATATATCTGAACAACAAAGTGGTCAAAAATCACTTTATTCATTTATTGGAAACATTTTCATGATCGTTTTTTTCGTTTATACATTTTAAGAACGGCGTTTATCTTTTTTGAGAATGAGTTCTTATTTGATTTTATTTATTTGGGTCTACAACAGATGATACAAATGTTTGTGTCAGTAAATGTGTACTAACAGAGGTGGGGGTGTTTGTGAAAACAACGGGGACAGAGCTGGCTGCTGTCAGGCGATCAGCTGTGCGGCGTCATCACAAACGGACGTCGCTTCACGTGACGCTCCGGAGGAAAGGACGTCCCACTGCTCTTAAAACTCATTTCCCTGCTTCTCGTGGTTTCCTTGCGTCTCTCCATGCTTCCCTGGTGGGAGGGACTAAACGCAGGGAAACGACGCAAGTGAGGGACGCAAGGATTCCATTTAACCGACCTGAGATGCAGCCTATGTGTAGCTGTGCTGGAGTTCGTGATGCCCCTGAACTTAATGACCAGGTCAGGACACAGACTTATGGCGCATTTCCACTGCAGGGCCTCGCTCGGCTTAGTACGGTATGGCTAGGCCTCGTTAGGCCTTGTTAGGCCAGGCTCACTTTATGCTGCGTTTCCATTACAGTTTAGGAACTGGGGTAGTATATAGTAACGCAGTGTAGGCGGAGCTGTGACGTCATCTTCAATGCGAAACACAAAACCAACATCAGCCGTTAGCTGTTAGCCCTCAGAGCTCACAGCTCCTCATATCTGTTCAGAAACTAGACAAAAGTTAAACAAGTACAAACCACAGACCGTCTGTGTCATGGCGAATACAGTCGCTGGTTTATTTATGTCTGTAGGCCGTTGTTGTGAGTGTGGACGGTCGGAGCATATACTGCGTTAGCTTAGCCAATCTCCATTCAGAAAACACGCATTTTAAAAGGTTTTTCGCCTGCCGTCTTGTCTGCAGACTTGTCAAAGCATTAATTCATGGTTTTTACTAACCGGTATCAGTATGTTGTTACTTCGGCATCATTTTGTAACGTGTATTACAATTAAATCACGGTAAAATATGTTCATTTTGTTGTAGTTGCCAGCGATTCTCTCACTAGTTTAGCATACTCAGCCCGGTTGTTGGCCCGGAAAGAACCTCGATTTTGGAGAGCCAGAAAAACTGTGAAAAAGTACCCGCTAGCCGAAACTTACGCCTAGTGGAAACGCAACCAAAAACGGGCCGGGCACGGCACGCTTAAACTGCGCTCCGCGCTGTAGTGGAAATGCGCCATTAGTGATGCAGTCTAGTGACTACTTGTCTGTGAACTGCTTAATACAAGGTCCAAAACGCCTACATCATTGCACAGAGGAAAGTTTGCTTGTGTATTGAAATTAAACAGGTCAGAAAAGGTGCAGTTTAACATAACACAGCTTTGAGTCCCCAGCAATACAGCTGCTGAGTAAAGTAGATCAAATGAATGGTTCTTGAGATGTGCCACACACACACACACACACACACACACACACACACACACACACACACACACACACACACACACACACACACACACACACACACACACACACACACACACACACTCACACACACACACACACACACACACACACACACATTAAAACACATCAAAAGAGACTTTTTAGATATAATCTATTTTTGGTCACATCTTCAAACGTATCATTTCTGCTTTTCAGGTAAAGCAGCATTACCTGCTAGTGTTGTCACACACAGGAGGAAACATGTTTTTTCAGTGAAATATAAAGGAAGCCATGCGGTCCTATGATTCCAGAGGGACTTCCCTTTGGGAACATGAATAGTTCACTGTCACTGTTTTAGTCTCATCTCAGATCTCTAAACCTGTGTTGTTACCTCCATGCATTACACTGTAGAATGTACATGATGTGTAAAGCTCATGGGATGGATGGTGGTACCTTGAAGTGACAGGGAACACTTCCTTAAAAAAAAGCTCTTTGCTCGAGGCAAAAATCCCACTCTGCTCCCGTCGTACTCCACCTACACTCCACCCACACACACTGGTCTAAACAGTATCATAGAGGAGAGGGGTGGCTCACCATCTGCTGTAAAGGTGCATCAGATGGCTCATGGTTAGTTGACACATCTGTTCTTCGTGAAAAGACTCTTTAGCCAGTTGGACCACTCTTAGAGTTCATGTCTCACCTCCAGCAGTCCTTGTGTGTTTGCTACTGTTGATATATATCTGTGATCATTTCTATTTTGGTTTGAAAGACAAGAAGAAATATCAGTCTTCGGCATGATGGCAACCAAAGAATAAAGATACTAAAGGCCTTCCTAACAAGATTACTATTGGGGGGGAGGGGGGACTATTATTCTTTGTCTCACATGCATGCATGCGTGTATGATTAATGGACAGTTTACAGCTAGGGTTATGATATGCAAGAATATTTAAGATAATAGCTTGCTATCAGCCCAAGTGCACATTGCCAGCAGTCATCATATTTGACAACATGTGAGCATGAGAACAGATACAGTACATAGATACATAACACTGCATTTGTCGAGATTAAAGCTATACAGATTGATCTTGAAGCTATTTAAAGAGCAAAATTGCCTCAGAATGATTCGATTGAATATGAAACTATCTAATAGGATGAAATTAAATGAGAAAAGCAGTTAAAATTCCTGGAATTTGGGAGATAGGAGTGTGTGAGTTACTGTCCCTCTACAGCTTAAAGGTGTTCAAAAATTAAGCCATCTTATTTTACGTCTCCTTGATCCTCTTTCCTTCAATGACAGAAGGATTTAGTTATTAAATTAGATATCTACAATTTGAAAGCGAGATATTCTGATACAAATATTATTTTGCCTATGAAACAGAATGCATGCACTTTTAGGCACTGCTCGTTGAAATCAAATATAAACACATTTCCCTATTTTAGTTTTACATATATTTCCCTGTATATCTGCGGAATAATTTACACGTTTCTTTCATATAACAGCACCCTTTTGCTGTTTGACTTTCACCCACAATAAAAAGATTTTCATAACCTTAATGACTTTTTGTAGTTTTACCCTTTAATTTAAGACCAATGACTTATTAAAGGTTAGGATTATCCCATGGCTACATGGCAAACCTTTCACTTGTGAGAGTAGCTGCAGCCTGAGGTTGGTTGCCATTTATTGCGTTTGAACTTTTTATACCTGCATGATATAAGAGTATTATTAATACGTGTGTAACTAGGTTGAAAAAATACGAAACATGTATTTAGATTCTGACTTTAGAAAGCAACCCACCTTTGATTTTGATGTGTGGAAATGACTTATTGAAGTAACATTCCCCAGGAGCTATTCCGTATTTCCACCAATCAGTCTCACCACCGTTGTGTAATCAAGTGTGCTTATGGGCCATTAGTTCAGCCGATCACGCCACGAAGGGATGGTTAACCAAAATGAATTTTCACCCATGTGAGCAATCAGCCTGAGAGGTGCAATTTTTCTCTCTCTCTCTCTCTCTCTCTCTCTCTCTCTCTCTCTCTCTCTCTCTCTCTCTCTCTCTCTCTCTCTCTCTCTCTCTCTCTCTCTCCAGCATTTCACATTGCCGGGTGTCATAGGACGTTTGGAGAGAATCCTCCATTGGCTGAATCTAACGATGACAGAAGGGACACTGAGAACGGCCTGAATATGTCGCCTCATATGGTAGACGTCAATAGCACAGCCTGGGCAATGCTTCATCTTCAGATTTATTAACTAAGGCCTTACCTTTCGTTCATTAAAATGCAGCAATCTTAAAGAAATGCTCACACAGAAATGGTTCTGCATATTTGAAATACAAGAGCCTTATGCAAC